GGGGCTATAAAAGCATAGAAAGGCGCTATACAAGTATAAGACCATTTACCATTCAGGTCATGTGCCAGATGACGGGCCTCCACAGCGGTGGGGGGGGTTCTATAGCCAGTGATGGTTTTCAGGCTCCCCCACACAGACGAGGGGTCGTTGGCTGAAACCTGAGCTTTCAGCTTTTCAGAGTAGCTCCTCTTTGCAGCTCTGATCTCCCTTGTCAGTGTGTTCCTTGCCTGGCTGTAAAGAGTCCTGTCCCCACACCTGTAGGCCTCCTCCTTGGCACAACGAAGCTGCTGGCTGTAAACCAGGGCATGTTGTTTTTGTACGTGCAGAAGGTCTTTTTGGGCACACACCCTTCCTCACAGAAACTGTTATAAGATGTCACAGTGTCAGTGAGTTCATCCAGGTCTGTAGCTGCAGTCTCAAATACACTCCAGTCTGTGCAGTCAAAGCAGGCCTGTAGCTCTGACTTAGCCTCCTCAGTCCAGCTCTTCACTGTTTTGACTACAGGCTTCGCAGCTTTAAGTTTCTGCCTATAAGTTGGAAGAAGATGGACCGTGCAGTGATCGGAGAGTTTCAGGGCTGTACGGGGGACAGAGTGATAGCACCTAGTTTGGGGCTGGCTGTTTAGCCCCAGGGAATGTTGGCTTTCAAGGAGAGCACAGAGGTGTAAATGTTTGAAGTGGAGCCATTTCTTCACACCTTCTGACTGTCACTCTAAGCATGAGGGTCATAAAATCAAATACTTTAATGCTAAACTCATCAACAGATGTAAATTGTTGAACTATTCAAGACTGTTGTGGTCACAATACAGCTGCTAAGCTGTGGAGACAGTGGAATGTAAGAGCAAATGATTGCAACCACCATTTCAGCTGCTCAACTTCCCGTCTGTAGACTGACTCCTCCCGTCTGTAGGCTGACTCGTCATCATCTCGGATGAGACCAATGACTGTTGTGTCATCTGCAAACTAGAGGAGTTTGACAGAGGGTGCCTCCGAGATGCAGTCGTTGGGGGGGGGCAGGCCATTGAAAATGTGTTCTGATTTATGTTCTTCACACAAAATGAGCCAAGGCCATTTTTTTGAGCCTGAAAAAATAATTTCTTGTATCTTTTTTCTTTTGATAAAAAGATAAAACCGGTATTCCACATTTGGTGCTACAGTATCTCTATGGCAAGTCAAATAGATCTGATTCTAAGCATTTAAACCAAACTCTGGGGGAAATATGAGTTTTTGTGTAAGTAATATTGTTTTTAGTGCAGTGTTCCCTGCATTTAAATAGTGTTTTTATTTATTTATTTTTATTTAGACACCCAAATGTGAATAATAACTAAAGGGGATGATACTGCAAGTTGCCAATGCCTGTACCTTTGCTCCACTCAGTAAATACCATAAACTCTAAATAATAATACATCTAGCACCTGTAAATTCATCCTTTATTTATTAAATAAATAAAGGATGGATTATTTCACTGGATGGATTTAATTGGTGGAGCAGCTACCCAGTCATTCATTTTTGTTTTTTATCTTCCATGCAACATATCTGAAAATATTTAAAGTGTGCTGTATACATCTGCCAAAAGAAATGTTAAGAAAGCAAAGCAGGTAGGCAGAAGATCAGTGTTGTTAACTATGAAAGTAATATTAATATAAAATTATGTTTTTATATAGGTAGTATCAGAACTAATTCACATAAATAAGAATAAATGGTTTTGATGGCATTCTACATCATTCTAAAAGGCTATTTTATTGTTTGTTTTTTTAATACGTTCTTTATTACATATCTGCTTATACCAAAATCAATATTTTATAGTAATTTTGAGAGAAAATAATGCAATTTAACTTCCATTTCGATTTTTATTAATAGTTTTTGGATTAGACTTTATCACTGCACCCAGTAAGTTCTAATTCAACAAAATTCAGTTTAGCATATAACCAAATAGTACAAACAGTAGCAAAATAGAGCTTTATATAAAGGCTAAATCAGGCAAGGCAGTGCAGCTTTACTAAGGTACACCTGTACAATTGTATGCAGTTCAACATTTCCACCTTAACATCTGCATTTATGAAGCTGAAAAGGTTTCAGTCATGGTGATATTGTCATAAATGTATAAATTCAATTCTATGTTTATTATTGAGGTCACAGTTAAAGGTGGTGTTGTACTTTACATTCTGTTCAGAGGTATCTCTATATTATTGTCCTCCCCAGCTTACATACATGAGAGGGTCAGAATATTACAGTTACTACATATGAATGCAGTCGGTCTCCTATATAACCAGTTAATACCAGTATAGCAGATCAATGAGCCAGCAGCAGTAATAGTGCTGTACTGGTGATGCATTGTCATTATATACAGTATTACTGTGTCATTTATGTTGATTAGCACCTATATTCTAACAGATGACATTTCAGTGTACTGTCATTTATGTTTCCTCCAATGTTTGCCAACTGTATTTGAACAAATTTGGACCTGTTATAGTCAAAAGTTGCCCTTTGAACAGTTGAACAGTATCTCAGCAGTCAACATTCAATGTTTGTCTTAATGTAACACAAAGGGGCACATAGGGACAGAGCTGTACAACTATAGCTTGTGCTTTAAGTGTCTTATTTATTACGAAGCTGATTTTACAAAATGAGTAGAGTAGCTCAGCCCCATTGGGCCAGTGGGTAAGATGCTGGGTCCTTCAGCTAGTGATTGCAGGTGCAATCCACATCTGGAGTGATGTGTAGCTTAGATTCCTAAAATGTTTTTAATCTGTTACTGCCAAATGAGCAATGTGGGCCCTGGAAAAGGCTGATTTTCAAAATAAAAGCCCCCAGATGGTTACAGAAACTTAACAGGGCTTTGGGGTAGAATATTTTTTTAAAAGTAAACTCTCACAACAGTAGCAGAAAGTTACCAGGAGGCCCCTAAATAGTGTGTTTATACATACAGTTACAAAGGTTGAGTGTAGATGTACACCCTCCACACTTGCACGATTTGCACTTTGCACAAAAATAACTAAATATATTAAAAAAACATTCTTTTCAGACATATGATTTAACCACTAACAAATGGAAAATTACTCTGTGGCTTATGTATAGTTTTTTGTTTGTTTGTGTTTTGATGTTAACACACAGACAAATGCACTTTATATTGTATAAAGAATCTCTCTCTGCACTTAACGCTATAACTTAACATATCAATAATGTACTTATAAATGGTCATTTCTTATGAAACTTCATATGTGGCTGACTTATCCTGTGAGGTCTGTGACATACCGCTGACTACTGACATTAAGCAGAGTCATGCCGCGAGGCTTACTGTATGTGAAGGTCATGGTTTTCAGACAACAAACCAGTAATGCTGGACTTTTCTGTTGAAGTCAAAGGAAGCCCACCATTTTACATGTTTGGTTGGAAAAATGACAGAATAATAGCTCTGAATTATATTATTTGAGTATTTCCAGACAGGTTTTATTTGAAATAAAATATATAGATGTAAGGAAAGCAGGTATTTAGGCATAAAGACTAAATAACTGGTCATTAGTATAAAACAACCAGAGTCATACAGTCTGTGGGATCTGTTAGTTCATTTAGTGGCAGCAGAGATGTGGAGATGCCAGGTTCCTCCTCTGTTTCAAATGGAAAAATAGAGCAGGCATGTACATAGAAGAAACAGTAAGTTAAACGTTTTGAGGTTTGTGTTGTCTTTGCTCCTGACCAGATGCAGGACAGGGACATGTACCTATGCAGCATTAGCAGAAACATTTTCAGTGATTTAAAGCATTTGTGTTTGGTTTAACATTTTTGGGAGGGCAAGGAAGGGTATTTTATTATTTAATAAAAAAAAATTATTCCTATTTTCTTGCTTTACTTTATTCATGAAAGCTCTCTCATACAAATCAGAAACCAGGCACTCCCCCTAGCTGTACTGATAAACCTTTCTTTCACCTTTCCAGGACAGTGACGCTAGCACTGAGAAACAAGGCTGTGACAACTTGGCTTATGAGTATGGGAGCCAGAGTGAGCTCTACCCTCCACCCAAAACTGCTTCCAGAGTGACCTTTAAGCTCCTGGGACTCACCTCTGAGCACCAAGCCCAAGTCATTGACAGCAGAATCTCCAGCCTGAATGGAGTTCTTGGTATCAGCTTCTCTTTACCAAAAAAACTGGCAAAAGTGGACTATGATACCTCAATTATCACAACTAAAGAGATTGCCCAGGAGCTCTGGGCAACTGGGTATAGTGTGGAGTCAGCAGTGAAAATCATGGTGGAGGGTATGCACTGCCAGTCCTGTGTGCAGTCCATCGAAGGACAGATTGGTGAGCTGCCAGGGGTTTCACATATTCAGGTGTCTATTCAAGATGGTGCAGCACTGATTGTATTTCAGCCTGTCCTAGTTACAGAACAGGAGCTAAGAGACAAGATCGAGGACATGGGCTTTGATGCTACTTTATTTGCAGATGATCCATCTGGACAAGACATATGCTACTGGCAGAGGAAGATAAATTCATCAACACAGATTGTAACCATTTGGATTGTAGGGATGACTTGCTACTCTTGTGTGCAGTCCATAGAAGGGAGGGTGTCTCAGATGACAGGTGTGCAGTCAATAGCAGTGTCACTTAAGGAGGAAAAGGGAACAATAACCTTTGACCCCAGTCTCACAGAGCCGGAGCTGCTCAGGACAGCTATTGAGGACATGGGCTTTGATGCATCACTTGAAGGTAGGCACCAGTGTGAAATGTTTGTAATTATGTTTTGTTAATTCACTCTTCAATCTAAAGTTGTAAGTCAGAAAAGCTATGCCAAAGGTCAAGATAAACATTTCCAGAAATGATTGCTGTATGAGATCAGAGGGTTTATTTTGAGGAGGGAGAACGGGCAGCTTCTGCTTCATCGACACATTGTGATAGTGACAAGACAATGTGTCTCTGTGGTGAGGATACGGTGACCCAGATTGGGGCTTCAGCTAACAATTATTTACATCTTCTGTTAAAATGCAGTCAAACAATAGTGAAGAATTTTGTGTTAAAATGTCTTGCTTGCTTCCAACCAGTCTAGACCCCCAAGATAGTCAATTTACTGTCACAGACGGAAAGAAAATCAGTAAATGTTCTTATTCCAGAAGCAGGAAATGTCATTTTTACTTTAAAAATGATCTAATTGACTACTGGAATAATCTAATTGTTTCAGCTCTACCTCTTTATTAGAACACAGTGCATTCCTGGACTAATGGATCAAATGACACTTTTGTTGTGTATCTGATTTTTTACAGAAATAGGAAGCCTGGACTGATTCATCAGCCAGCATTAGCTCACTGCAGATATATCACTACTGATGTGTACTATCAGCCTTGTTTTATACTGACAAGTTTGGAATGGGGCATTTCACTTTTCCAACCTTAGTGCTTACTTTTGAGAGCAGTCTAACTTCAGCTACAACAGATTAAAAGATGATAGGTGTCAACCACAAGTGGTGTGTGGCAGAATGCCTTGAAATTTTCTTGCAAGTTTAAATTTTGTGGTTCTGTATTAGCCTATTAAATATACATGTACACAGGCAAGTGACTTAAACCTCTTGGTGGAAACACCTGTTTACAGAGGTGGAGAATTTATTTGACCAAACAGATGAGAACAATCTAGCAAACTAAGGTACTATTAGCTGAAAGATGACAGATGGGGGATGTGATAGCAATGAGTCACTTGATTAACTGTAACACAATAGCTGGAGCTGAGAGGCATCCATCTTTAGAGGCCCTCAGACAGCTTACGTTGCTATTATCCAAGCAGTGTATTCCATTTGACCCATGAATCCTTGTACATTACCATAGTCTGTTATTTATAACTTCATGCGTACTACCAAGGAAATCTACAGTTGGGGATATGTGGAAAAAAAAAGATCAGAGCTCAGTGGAACAGTATACTGTATAACTTGCATATAGTGCTTTGACGCACTAGGCCAACAGGACCTCAAATTCACCTCGCCTCAGTTTCCACCTGTTACCACTGAAAGTCTTCAGTGTGACTACAGCGCTCCTATAGCCAAGATGTGGAATTAACTCAGGCAGATTATGAGCAGATTCTTCAGATGTATCTTTTTTCATTTCAGCTGTCAAGGTCGAGCTAAGTTGAAGTTTTTGGCACTCAGAGGAAGTGGTGAAGATTTTTGTGCCATTTCTAACTTGTTTCATGCATGCCTACAACTCACCATAGAAGTTATATATTACCATATATCTTTAGAAATGTGCAGTTATGAAACTGTTTTAGAGCAGTGTTGGTTCAAGTTTATGGTCATTTTAGGGGCTGAGTTGTGTTAACAGAGAGGTGTAATATTTAGTCTACCAAAAGTAATGTAAAAAGGGTAACAGCTGTAACTGTACATATGTGTCATTATACGTCAAGATACTGACCCACAAAAATATCCATCAGTCTGCCTTTAAGCATCTCTGGATCCTGCCCATCTGTACTTTGTTCCTTTTTCTTATCAGAACTTGTACCAAGCATCCAGACACACGAAAAGTCCAGGCCTGTTCATTCCAGACCTTCTGACCTTTCTGACCTGCAGTCGTCCAGTAAGGCAGGAGTCAGCTATGGCACTGGATCCCAGGCAACGTCAACCAAATCTCCTGATAATAAAGTACAAAAATGCTTCATTTGTATAATGGGAATGACCTGTGCCTCCTGTGTGGCCAACATTGAAAGAAACCTGCTCAAACACAAGGGTATGATTGATTAAATATTCTTTTTATTTACCAATTTCTATATGGGGATGCAGAATTTGCATTATATGAAAAAAATCCCATGTTTAAACTGTATTAAAATGAAGCTCAAGTATGATTATTGACTTCCAGGAGTCATCTCAGTGTTAGTATCTCTGATGGCTGGAAAGGCAGAAGTGAAGTATGATTCAGACATCACAGACGCTGCTACTGTAACTCAGCTTATAGAAGACTTAGGTTTTGGTGCCAAACTGATAGAGGACAATGCAGTAACACATGGGAAACTGGACCTCACTGTAAGCCCTTAAAACAAAATGTGACAGCATTTTAAATAAAATATAATATCCCAAAATGCAGAAAAACAGTTTGCTATCTTTCACTTGTAGATAACTGGCATGACATGTGCATCATGTGTCCACAACATTGAGTCCAAACTCACTACAACCAAAGGGATCATTGGGGCCTCTGTTGCTCTCGCAACCAAAAAAGCACAGGTCCAATTTGACCCAGAGGAGCTTGGAGCTCGAGATATTATCAAGCTGATTCAGGTAATGATCACTTATTTTTTAAGTCAGTCATGAACTTTCTCTAGTTCAAATTTTTGAACTAGGCTTCTCATTCCAGAGCCTTGGATTTGAGGCCAGTTTGGTGAAGGCAGGCTTTGTCAACCACCTCGATCACACAGAAGAAATTCAACAGTAAGTGTCTGGTTTGAAATGATTCTAATCATCAGATTAAAAGGCTGTGTCACAACTAATAATTAGATTTTCAACAGAAATACTATTCTGCAGTCTGAACCTTTATTAACAAAACATTTATTAGTTCATTTGTTAGTTTGATATAGATTTAAATAAAACCTCACACTTAGGTATACTTTGGATGGTTTCAATCCATCCACCTCTGGAGTGTTGGCCCAGTACACTTCAGCACCACTCTGCTACAAATCACCCCAGATGTGACTCAAATCCACAATCCCCAGCTAAGGAAGCCTTATCCATTAGGCGACTGGGGCTGCTAAAGTGTTCTGTTTCTGCAGTCTGAGTGGCCACACCAAAGAGTGTCATCAAAGCTGTCATACCATAACCATACAGCTATCAGTACTGGTCGCATATTGTTTTGTTAAAAACGCCTCTCCGTTGTGTGTTACTTGTGACCGGGCCAATATACAGGCCTATGCAACCCAGACACTAATAAGTTTTAGTAGCTCTCAAAAAATATTATCCCTCCTGTTTCAAGAGGTCAAATTCATACAAACTCTACAAATACTGGGTTACCACACACAGATAAGTCTGCAAACGCACAGAGACGTTGGGTTTGTCCACAAAAATAAGAATTTATTTGAGTCACTAAATAAGTTAACAGTGAAACAATGTTTAAAAAAGGCCTAACCCCAGAAGCTAAAATACTATGCTTAAGAAGAAGTTACTCCCCACTCAATAAATACAGTGCAGAACAGCAATAAGAAATGGTCAGGGGTCTACAGGTTAGAAAAGACCCATAGATAAACATCACAACAATCCATACCAAACCAAACGTAGGAGGGTCTTGCCTCCCTCCACCTCAAACCATTTATATACGGCTCATACACAATAAAACTTGGGTACTATACAAGGAATAGGAAATGTTATGCTGAGTAAGCTTCTTAACATTAAAGCACACAAAACAAAAATAAGCAAAGGTAAGCAAAGCAAATGAGGCAAAGCAAAGTGTTACGTAAGCAAAGCAAAGCAGCAGTGGCTATCACTCCTGCAACAAGTAAAGCTACTGTTAATAAACAGCGTAAATACATTGAAACAATTAAAACCAACAGCACTACAGGTTACCTTGGCTGCACGTCACCCTAGCACAACATGTGCAATGGACGCCAGCTTCTGCAGGATCACGCTTACATTTATCACCCCTGGAGAGCATACGGTAATCCCCCAAACAATCTACAGACGAAACGAACTGATTAAGCACTTTACCCCGCAACAGATATACAGTCAGTTCGTTGGACATACCTCAAGTGGAAAGCAGGACACAGATCAATGGAGGAAGATTCACTTCAAAACAATCACAGCGGCAACCAGTACAGGAATTGCTTATCGCATCAGCTTCTCCAGGGGTGGTATTTATAATATTTTATAATAATCATCCCAGCAAATTGTTCACCTGGCGATATAGGCGTGGCCAACCCGTCGGTTACACCTACCCACAATCCAGTTTCTGTTCCTTCTTCCTCTGCATCACTCTCCTTTGCCTCGGATCCCATTCTCAACAACTCCAAGAAATCACTCTGAAGACATCCAGGGCCAGTGGTCTGAATTGGTTTCAACATTGTTCGATGTACCTGCCGAAGATGGGCTAAATCATGTACAGGGGTCACTGAATACACCACCTTGCCTGGCTCAGGCACTCTCACCACTTGGTACACTGTAGAGCCCCAGACATCCTGAATTTTATTGTGGCCCCAAACAGACTGATCCTGTAAATAAACTTTCTGATGCACTACCAGTGGTTCATCACAGCCTTTAGCATCATGTCTCTCCTTCCTCTGTAGAGCAGCTGCCTCCATACGACCCTTTGCACTGCTAAACGCCACTTGAAGCCTCCACCAGTGTTCCCTGACCCAATCACAGACCATCCCTGATAATAGCTTTGGAACATTTCCTAAGAGAAAATCAACAGGTAAGTGAGGTTCCTGCCCAAACATAAGAAAGTGTGGGGATTCATCTGTTGACTGATGAATGGTGGTGTTATGAAGGGTTCGATTGAATCTCTCACACTGATCATTACCCTGAGGCCGATAAGGGGTGGCACGAGTCTTCTGTACCCCATATAGCTCACACAACTGCTGCACCAAAGCACTCTCAAAACTCCGGCCCTTGTCAGACGCATGGGGACTCTATATCGATAGAACCACTCCTTTATTAGCACTCTTGCTACAGTGGAAGCCTTCTGGTCCCTCGTAGGTACAGCCTGGGTAAACTTGGAAAAAACATCAGTCATTACCAACACAAGCTCAGTACCATCGCTGGAAGGCTCCAAAAAAGTGAAATCAAAGACCAAGATTTGATTTGGTCTGGCTGCCAGCAGGTGGCCCATAGGTGCTCTGTTCTCCGGGTGTGTTGCCTTAGCCAAGTTACAACGCTCACACTTTTGACACCAGTTCTTTATCTCCCGGTCCATCCCAGGCCAGTAACACCTCTGCTTCACGAACTCAGTAGTCCACTCAATTTCTTGATGGCCATGGTTCTGGTGAAGCTGCTGCAGGACCTCCTCCTTCAAATTCTCTGGCAGAAGGAGCTGCCACACCTCTTCACCCCCATCTAGACGAAACAGCTGGTGATACAACAAATCCTCCTTCCATACAATACGGGCCCACTGACACAACAATCCATGCACTTGGTGTCAATCTCTCCCTTTCAGTCTGACTGGGCATTCTCTGACTGTCCCAAAAAGAGATAAAGGTGCTAATGGTGGGCCTGAAGATCAGATGTACAAGATGGAAGGGCTATCATTGCAGTCTGCTCAGCGTTTTGGTCCATGCACTTCCCCGTAGCCACCTGCAAAGCCACAGGTATCGCAGTCCCTGGGAGAGAAGATTCCATCATTTGCGATCCTGGAGCCACCAGCTGTCTTGAAAGTGCATCTGCATTCTTATTAATCCGGCCTGGCCAATAACGAATACTGTAATTGAAGGCAGATAGTTCAGCAACCCATCACTGTTCCGTAGCTCCTAATTTTGCAGTGTCTAGATGGCTTAATGGGTTATTATCAGTCCAAACGACACACTTTTGACCCCACAAATACTCCCTGAATTTTTCAGTCATGGCCCACTTCATAGCCAGAAACTTCAATTTCATAGAGCTATAGTTCTTCTTAGTTGGACATAAACTCCTGCTGGCATAAGCAACTGGTCTCACCTGGCCAGCCTGCTCCTGGGACAGTACAGCTCCCAAGCCATTATGGCTAACATCAACCTCCCAAGGGGAGAGAAAAGTTAGCAAAAGCCAGGGTTGGTGCACTTACAAACCGGGCCTTCAAATCTTGAAAGCTCTTTTCACAGTCCTCTGACCAAGACTCTCCCCATGAAACGTCCTGGCATTTCCGGGTCCTCAACCCAGATGACTGCGTCACCAGCCGATGAAGCAGGGCCGCCAACCTGGAGAAGCCCTCCACAAACCGCCTGTAGTAGCTGGCGAAAACCAGAAAAGACCCCAGGTCATTCGTATTGGTAGGGGGAGGACTTAGCCACCGCAGAGACTTTCCCTGGGTCAGTAGAGACTCCCCCCTCTGAAATCACATGGTCCAGATACTGCACCTCTTTCTTGAAGAAGAAACACTTCTCCAGCTTAGCCTGAAGTCCTTCCTGTTGCAGGCAGCTCAGCACTAAATCAAGTCGACTCAAATGCTCATCCACACTGGAGGAGAAGACAATGATGTCATCCAGATATATTAGCAATGACTGACAGTGCTGGGCTCCAAATAGTTGCTCCATCAAACGCTGGAAGGTACTGGGAGCATTGCACAATTCAAATGGCATCTGGTTAAACTCAAATAACCCAAACGGTGTGCAAAAAGCAGTCTTTGACTTGTCCTGCTCAGTTACTTGTACTTGATTATAACCACTAGCCAAATCCATGGTAGAAAACCACTTAGCCCCAGACAAGGCATCCAAAGACTCCTCAATCTGAGGGAGGAGAAAGGCATCCTTCCTGGTCTTGCGATTCAGCTGCTGGTAATCAACACACAGACGAAGGGTACCATCCTTCTTCCTAACAAGGACAATAGGAGAGGCATAGGGGCTACTACTCTCCCGGATAATCTGGGTCTCCAACAGTTGGCGTATATGTACTTTGACTGCCTCATAATCAAAGGGAGGTATACGCCTATATCGCTGTCGTACAGGTACATCATCTAACAGAGGGATATCATGAGAAATTAAGTTTGTGCAACCAAGGTCACCTTCAAACTCGGAGAACACAGACTCATGTTTCAACAACAAAGATATCACATTTCCCTGCTCTGCTTTTGATAGTACAGACAAATCGAGAGCTTTAATCTGCTCCTGCACTGAACTACCCTCTCTAACCTGGGAGTTAACAGCTGCAGGAAACTGCGCTGACTGACTCTGCAATTTGCTAAGCCCTGCAGGTAGGCTGACAACTTCAGCTTGAGTCAATAATCCCACTACAACCCGGGGATACAATGTAACTGGTGAACCACCAACATTCACAATTGGTATGTATACCGTTCCCCTAGCAACCCGCACCAAAGATGGTGAAAGGACAATAATCTCAGCCTCAACACGGACAAGACGAAGTAGATGATAGTGGACATGAGGAAGGAGAGGAGATCTCATCGGCCACTGTACATCTGGGGGCTTGAAGTGGAGAGGGTGAGCAGCTTCAAATACCTGGGTGTCCACATCAGTGAGGACCTCACTTGGACACTTAACACCACACAGCTGGTCAAGAAGGCCCAATGGCGGCTGTACTTCCTGAGGAGGCGGAGGAGGTTTGGCATGTTGCCTAGGATCCTTTGCAACTTCTACAGCTGCATCATTGAGAGCATCTTGACCAGCTGCATCACTGTCTGGTATGGCAGCACTACTGTTATGGACCGCAAGTGCCTGCAGAGAGTGGTAAAGACTGTGGAGAAGATCACCAGGACTCCACTGCCCTCTGTGCAGAGCATTTACTGTACCAACGCAGGGTGCGTAGGAAAGCTGCCTCCATCCTCAAAGATCCCATCCAACCCCAGCACGGACTGTTCACTTCTCTGCCCTCTGGCCGGAGGTTCAGAAGTGTGAAATGTAGGACCTCCAAAAACTCTTTCTTTCCCTCTGCCATCAGACTCCTAAACAGCTGAGGAGTTTGTTACCAGGAAATATGTCATGTACTGTTGACATTCTCAGTTTGCACATGAATAATTGCACATTGACTGTTGACTACTGCACATGCTGCTCCCATGCAGCATACATTCTCTTATTATATTCTTATATATTTTTATTATACTGCTGCATTTGCTGCTTAAAGTGCCTATTTATCTACTCTATATTTCATTTGTATTTTGTGGCATTCAGGTGGACAGCAAAGTAAGAATTTCATTGTACAGGGAAACACGTTTCCTAACTGTGCATATGACAAATAAACACTTTGACCTTGACCTTTGACCAAGTGTGTGGCATCTTCTTTCCATAATTTGACACATTTCTGGTGCCGTTCCAGGTGGAAGAAATCCTTCCTGCTCAGCCTTGTTTTTGGCTTGCCTGTCATGGGCCTCATGATCTACATGATGGTGATGGACAGCCAGCACCAGGAACACGGAGGCTCCATGCCCGAGGAGCAGAACCTGCTGCCGGGCCTCTCCCTCCTCAACTTGGCCTTCTTTCTGCTTTGTACACCTGTGCAGGTATGGAAACGTAACTGTTGGTTTTATTTTATTAGTTTTGTGCTAAATTCACATCACTAAGAAATTGGTGGCTGTGTTTCCCTTCTGGATGAATGTGACTGGGATTAGTTCCTTTATACATTAACAGTGTGAGAGCGTTGTAATAATCATACATACTGTACATACATTCAGGGCCTCTTTTAACATTTAATTGGGCTGTAGGATTAATGGGATTAATGATGATTGTTTTTTTTGGGCTTGTTTTTTTTTTTTGGCAGCACATGTTTGCCCTTCTACAAGTTTGTACATTGATAGTATAATGCATATCTTGGACAGTGGATAGCTCTTGCTGGGTGTTTGCATGCTCTTGCCTAAGAAATGCTGTTATAAAGTTCATTTCAGTTTTCTGCACAAACAAAAACAAAAAAAACAAGTAACGTTAAAAAGATGCCACAGTACTGCCCACTCTGTTTGACTGACAGCCTGACTGACCGACTGTTTCTTTCCTGCAGATCTTTGGAGGCCGATACTTCTACATCCAGGCATATCGCTCACTGAAACATCACACAGCCAACATGGACGTCCTTATTGTGTTAGCTACCTCTATCGCCTACATCTACTCCTGTGTGGTCCTTATTGTAGCCATGGCCGAACATGCCAGCCAGAGCCCTGTCACCTTTTTCGACACGCCGCCCATGCTCTTTGTGTTCATTGCTCTGGGGCGATGGCTGGAACATATTGCAAAGGTAGAAAAAATTAAATGAAAAATATAAATACTTGGTTTGAAAGTCATAGTCCTATTTACTACTACTTGTCACTTCATTGCTGTCTGACTGAAGTGGTGAAATGGACTATAACCCTGTAAACTATCAAGTCACATTAGTGTAATCTTCTAATGGTCTTTCAAAAACTAAAAATTGCAAATACACAGTCTAAAATAGTTTATCCTAGTAGCAACTTTAAGAGTAAAAAAAGAACAGTTTCAATCTTCTCATTAATTGTTTTTCCCAAATTGTTGAACCATTGCTTTAGAAGAATAATATGTAACTGTTCCCTTTGTACCTTTTATTCCAGGTCACCAGAGAAGCAGCTATACAATGTTTCGATGACATTTTGACTATTTTCATTAGTAAATCACATTGTTAGATTTTTAAATAATTAATTTCCATTTTATTGCATGAAATAAGTATTTGATACAATAGAAAAATAGAACTTATTTCATGCAATCAAATGGAAATTAATTATTTAAAAATCTAACAATGTGATTTACTAATGAAAATAGTCAAAATGTCATCGAAACATTGTATAGCTGCTTCTCTGGTGACCTGGAATAAAAGGTACAAAGGGAACAGTTACATATTATTCTTCTAAAGCAATGGTTCAACAATTTGGGAAAAACAATTAATGAGAAGATTGAAACTGTTCTTTTTTTACTCTTAAAGTTGCTACTAGGATAAACTATTTTAGACTGTGTATTTGCAATTTTTAGTTTTTGAAAGACCATTAGAAGATTACACTAATGTGACTTGATAGTTTACAGGGTTATAGTCCATTTCACCACTTCAGTCAGACAGCAATGAAGTGACAAGTAGTAGTAAATAGGACTATGACTTTCAAACCAAGTATTTATATTTTTCATTTAATTTTTTCTACCTTTGCAATATGTTCCAGCCATCGCCCCAGAGCAATGAACACAAAGAGCATGGGCGGCGTGTCGAAAAAGGTGACAGGGCTCTGGCTGGCATGTTCGGCCATGGCTACAATAAGGACCACACAGGAGTAGATGTAGGCGATAGAGGTAGCTAACACAATAAGGACGTCCATGTTGGCTGTGTGATGTTTCAGTGAGCGATATGCCTGGATGTAGAAGTATCGGCCTCCAAAGATCTGCAGGAAAGAAACAGTCGGTCAGTCAGGCTGTCAGTCAAACAGAGTGGGCAGTACTGTGGCATCTTTTTAACGTTACTTGTTTTTTTTGTTTTTGTTTGTGCAGAAAACTGAAATGAACTTTATAACAGCATTTCTTAGGCAAGGGCATGCAAACACCCAGCAAGAGCTATCCACTGTCCAAGATATGCATTATACTATCAATGTACAAACTTGTAGAAGGGCAAACATGTGCTGCCAAAAAAAAAAAACAAGCCCAAAAAAAACAATCATCATTAATCCCATTAATCCTACAGCCCAATTAAATGTTAAAAGAGGCCCTGAATGTATGTACAGTATGTATGATTATTACAACGCTCTCACACTGTTAATGTATAAAGGAACTAATCCCAGTCACATTCATCCAGAAGGGAACACAGCCACCAATTTCTTAGTGATGTGAATTTAGCACAAAACTAACACCAAGCTGTTTGCCTATTGTCCTGTAGCCCATCCCAGCCTTGTGCAGGTCTACAATTTTGTCCCTAGTGTCCTTAGACAGCTCTTTGGTCTTGCCCATATTGGAGAAGTTGGAGTCTGATAGACTGAGTGTGTGGACAGGTGTCTTTTATACAGGTAACGAGTTCAAACAGGTGCAATTAATACAGGCAATGAGTGGAGGATAGGAGGGCTTCTTAAAGACAAACTAACAGGTCTGTGAGAGCCAGAATTCTTGCTGGTTGGTAGGTGATCAAATACTTATTTCATGCAATAAAATGGAAATAAATATTTAAAAATCTAACAGTGTGTCTCCATTCCTAGAGTAAAACCTCAGCAGCTTTGGCAAAGTTGATTTCACTTCAAGCTACTGATGCCACTGTGGTCACATTAGGACCTGACCATGCCATACTCAGGTGAGTCACACAAGATACAACCAATAAATATATACCAAAATCATCCAAAAGCATTCATCTGGTTCACTTTGAAAAATTGATAAATTATCATCATCAGTCAGTGATATAGAAAAACAGTGCTAGAGATAGACATTTACAAAGCAACAACTCGCTGTATTTCATCACGGTATGTAACTATAAATGTATTCTTATGTTTCAGTGAGGAGCAGGTGGTGGTGGAGCTGGTCCAGCGAGGTGACATTGTCAAGGTCATTCCAGGAGGAAAATTCCCCGTTGATGGGAAAGTGATTGAGGGAAGCTCCATGGCGGATGAGTCTTTGATCACAGGTAGGAGAATCTGAAAACTGTTATGACTGTAACACCCTGCAAACAACTGCCATTGCATTCTGTTGACTGACATGATTTTATATTTGTGAGTAACAGTGATTTTGAATGCAGGATTTCAATTCAAATGTGCAGCAGTAGCAATAAAAATAATCCCAAGTCTTCATTAGATTATGATTAAATGGATATGTTAGCTGGCACCATTTACTGTAATTCAAAATCATAAAAGAAATAACATCTGATATTACAGTCATAAAGGATAATGTCATAATAAAACATCCAAAGAAAACCAAGGAAGGACTTTTTGAGTAAAACACGTGAAAGAATTTGTTTTGTTGCTTCTCTCCTTATACTTTTGTCAGGTGAGCCAATGTCTGTTAGTAAGAAGGTTGGTAGTTTGGTGATTGCTGGCTCCATCAATGCTCACGGAGCTCTTCTCGTGGAGGCCACTCATGTTGGTGCAGACACAACTTTGTCTCAAATCGTCAAACTGGTGGAAGAAGCCCAAACCTCTAAGGTCAGAGGCAGCTTGAACTTTATTTTTCAGATTTTCACTCTACTGTAGGTGACAGATGTATAGGGTCAAAAACTCTTGATTTGGAAAGAAAAGTATCCTACACACTGTTCGTCACTAGTACTCACAGTCAACATTGTCACTGATGTCACTTGTACTATAAAGACTTTCACCGTAGCCCTTTAATTTTTGCTATATTCAAAAGTCAAAAAGACTTATATAGTTACATACAGAAAATTGTTCAACTTTGAAATGCACTTTCAGACAGAAAAAAGTGTCTTCTTGATAATCTGGTTGTAGCTGTACAAAAATACTTGTACACTCACACACAAATGCACATTTCCTTACATTTCCAGTATTAACAGACGCACTAGGAGCATGAAGAGCAAAGATGTAATACAAGTATTCCAGCTTAAATATGGTGAGATGATTAGTTTCCATAAAAGTTAGCCTTGTTTTCTTGCAGTCCATTTACAGTACACTCTTCTGTGCTCCTGTTATTTAGGCCCCCATCCAGCAGTTTGCAGACAGGCTCAGTGGGTACTTTGTGCCCTTCATAGTTATCGTTTCTCTGCTAACACTGGTGGCCTGGCTGGCAGTCGGGTTTGTCCGCTTTGACATTGTGAAGGAGAACTTCCCGGTAGGTGAACACAAAAATGCTCATCTGCAAACAAAAGCAGCTTTCATAAAGATGTGATGTGCAGAGACAGCCATATGAGCATTATACTATCACTGTAGCAACTTGTTCTCCTCCTCGCAGGATTATAACCAGAACATCCCCAAAGCAGAAGTTATTGTTCGCTTCGCCTTCCAGGCCTCCATCACTGTTCTCTCTATCGCCTGCCCTTGTTCTCTTGGGCTTGCGACCCCGACAGCCGTGATGGTGGGGACAGGAGTTGGAGCTCAGAATGGGATCCTCATTAAAGGAGGCGAACCACTGGAGATGGCCCATAAGGCATGCACTGTACATCCATCAACTGACCTCTGATCACTGTTGTTGTTAGATTAATTCATGTGCTAATACTGTGTACTGCTATGTGGATACCAGAACAGAGTGTATCAGCCTCAAGATGTAAGTGATACCTGTTAATGTTTGGACCTAATACACGGTACAGTAAATGTAACCTCAGTGTGTTTCCTCCTCCTGTGTGCCTCATAACAAATTGCTGTCACTCCACAGTCAACAACTCGAATCATTTAATATCTAGTCTGTTTCCATTGTAATTAACATGTGACACCGTGTGGCATTTGTTACTGAAACACTCTTCTATATGACTCCATTTATTTGTGTTTGTTTTTTATTTTAATACAATAGTATCACCCGTTGGAAATGTATGGGTGCTTTGACATTTTCTGGGCACATTTACCCCCCACAGAGGAGGAAGCCTTAACACTCCACTCTATGATTAGTTCACATTCCACTGCTATAGAAAAATTCTTTGTGCCTATAATCCAGCAGCAAGGTCTTCAGTAATATTTCCTTGATCTTACAGATTTTTACAGCCTGCCCAGAATCATAAAATTCTACATTTCAACAGAATGCGCTGCCTAGAGCAGTGGACCTTTAACACAGAGTTGATCAAAACAAAACATAAAAACCAGATGGAGTTGAGATGGAAATGCGTTTTTGTGTTTCACTCCTTCCTAGATCAATGTGGTGATGTTTGATAAGACCGGCACCATTACAAACGGCGTGCCGCGAGTGACTCGTGTGTTGGTGCTGTGGGAAATGGCCCGTATGCCCCTGAGAAAGATCTTGGCACTAGTTGGGACAGCAGAGGCCAGCAGCGAGCACCCACTGGCCATGGCAGTCACTAAACACTGCAAAGAGGTGAGCAAAGGAGCCAGTTAGATGCACAGTGCTCCTTCTGGGCCATTCTGCCTTTGAATATATACAGTACATGTCTGCATTGGCATGAGCATTTGTCTGTTTTAAAATGTATTTCACAACCCAACTCTCTTTATCAGTTATTTTTGAGCAGTTTGTAACAGACAAAATTATCATGGTTAGAGGTTTTGTATGTGTACATAACAGACGCTGGGCTGTGACGTGCTGGGCTACTGCCAGGACTTCCAGGCGGTGCCTGGATGTGGGATAAGCTGCCGGGTTTTCAGTGTAGAACATCTGCTACAGCAGCAGAGTGAGGAGCGTTTCCTGCTGCCAGGAGCCACCACCAACGAAAGTAACCTGTTCTCTGCTGCTGAAGCTCCGCCTGCAGGTCTGATGTATTTCAGTTTCTGGCGTTCGCCTGTTTATTCTGAAGAGCAGCTTCAATACAAAGACAACAAGCTCTAAGCTGGTGTTGATTTAATCAGTTCCCACTTTGTCATTTTAGCTGCTGGAGATTAGGTGACTCTTAATAAAAAAAATAACCATCTGAAGGAGGCTGGTTAGCTCAGCTGGTTAGAGAGTGGTGCCATGAAGGTCAAGGTTTTGATCCCTGTACTGACCAGGGATTTGTTTTAGTACAGATGTGTGCTGTTTAACTCCTTTGGGTAAAAATGAAACACCATTGCAGGTCTTTGAATTTAAAGGTGGGGAATTTTGTTGCACACCAACCAAAATACACATTGTGTATATCCTAACAGAATGCTAGATCTCAAGTACATGAATGCATGTCCTTCCTCATAAAACACGCGTCTGAAACCTGCATTGTCCATGTCTGCCAGAAATCTTCTTCTTCCCAGCCTTTGTTAAGGCATTGCTGCATATCTTGGTGTGTTACCACCTTTCCATCAGTGTTAAATCATTAGCAGAAATGTGTATCGCATGGCCCATGTGAAAGTACATGTGCATCCTTGTGCATGTGGAAGAGACGAGCAGGTGCCTCACAAAAATATTAGCTCCATAGACAGTGCAACAAGAGGACCAAAACTCCACGTGGTACCTTTAATGTAAGAAATGGTGAGTTATTGAAAGAAATTTGAAGACTGCAGCAATTAACTTACTTTAAGGGCTCCCTTGAAAATGAGGTTGTAAATCTTAATGGGATCTCCCTGAGTAAATAAAGTCTAAGTAAAATAAAATGACTGCACCCAGGGATCATGAACATCATCCTGCCCTGCAGAACGATTTCAACTACAATATTTAACATGACCGCACAGAACAACAGATCAAACAAATTAAATGTATATTTTCTCTTTTTTTATTTGTGCTTCTGCTACTTGTTTTATTTCTTGAACATACGTATATGCGTTTTCTAGACCCGTGCTTGTAAATTAGTGAGGCTTTTGATTATATAGCATAGTATATAGAAACTCAGAATATACATTTTTACCCTCAAACTTGATTGGATTAAATACTTCCGTATCTCAGTAAGCTATTTTACCTTTTTTTTTTCTTTTTTCTTTTTTTACAGAAACAGTAATTAAATATTTTTCTTATAAGCTACACAAAATGATTTGCAGTTTTGCATTTCTGTGATGCAGGTTTTTCCATTAAAAACATGTCAGCTTTCCTTCAGATTTTACTTGTTGACATCCATTTTAATGACCTTTCTTTGCTTTTATCAGCACCATTTTACTCAGTGCTGATTGGTAATAGAGAGTGGATGAGGAGGAATGGCCACCACATTGGAGTAGATGTTGATGCCGCCATGTCCAGCCATGAAACAAAAGGACAGACAGCTATCCTGGTAGCTATAGATGGTGAGGATGGACTCTGCAAATGAGCAACAACTCTGACATTTACTTTTAGCTCTAGCCTTCAGTATATCCTACTTCTGCTGCAGGGGTGAAGCATTTGTGCCACATGGACTGTGTCTATGTTTTCTGTAGGTGTTTTGTGTGCCATGTTAGCCATTGCAGACACGGTGAAGGCAGAGTCAGCGTTAGCAGTGCATACACTCAACAACATGGGCATCAAGGTGGTTATGATAACAGGAGATAACAGACGCACAGCCAAAGCCATAGCCACACAGGTAAGACACACATTTATAAAAGATTCAGAAAAAAAAGCACCTGAATGTTGAGTATTTAATGAAATACCTGATTGTTGTTTAACCACAGGTGGGGATCAGGAAGGTGTTTGCAGAGGTGCTGCCTTCACATAAGGTGGCAAAAGTCCAGGAGCTGCAGGAACAAGGTCTGAGAGTTGCCATGGTGGGAGATGGTGTTAATGACTCACCCGCCCTCGCTCGGGCTGATGTCGGCATCGCCATCGGCACAGGCACTGATGTGGGGTTGTGTGGCTACCGAAGCCAGCCGATATCGTCCTGATTCGAGTAGGTGCAACACTGTGACTGACAGTGATACAGTAACATCTTCAAAACTGTCTGACTTGAAAGTTTTTACACTCTTTAGAATGACCTGCTGGATGTGGTGGCCAGTATCGAACTGTCAAAGAAGACGGTACGAAGGATAAAGATCAACTTTGTCTTTGCTCTGATCTACAACCTTTTAGGAATACCAGTCGCTGCAGGTGAGCACTGGTTGTATACTGACTAGCTCCTGAAGAATCAGATCTACAATAGCAACTAACTTCCATATCACCAATACAGGAAGTTATTATATAAACTGTAACACATAAACAATAGAAGCAGCAAAGTCAGATTGCAAACATGGAGCTTACTGAACTTTGTGTGTTTATTCAGTATATACTGCAGTGAGTAAACATAAAAAGCACTGATGTCCATGCATTCCTCTCCTCTGCTGGTCGTAGGTGTGTTCATGCCTGTTGGCCTTGTGCTGCAACCCTGGATGGGTTCGGCTGCGATGGCTGCCTCGTCTGTTTCAGTGGTTCTGTCTTCTCTACTGCTGAGAATGTGAGTCCACATATGTACCTTAAATGTCCATGATTTGAAGCAAATAATTTAATAATTGCTGTTAGTGTTACATTTGTTATCATTTGCTATTATCATTAGTAGAAAATTAAGAGTATATATTCAGAGACTATCAGAGAATCATTTAAACTAGAAACATACTGTATAAAACATCCCACAGGCTTCTTCTATCCAATCACATTTTTGAATGTCAAAGATGTGTTTTTAGGTTTACCTATAGATGCACTGCCCAACTGTTAGATGATTTTAGTAACAGGTTGTTTTTGACCACCAGTGGTGGGGGTCACTGCAGTGACAACATACCTGAAACCTTCAACCAGAGAGGGCAGTGAAACACTACTTTTCAGCACTGTCATTAGTTATGTTTTAACTTCATAAACTCACAATTGTGCCCATAAATTTCCCTTAATTTCTTTAAATATTTAACCATATTTCCCCCAAGCCATTTAATGTCACATGAATCTTAATTAAGTTCAGGTGGTTTAAATGCCATTTGTTGAAAAGGAATTTGTAAAGACGGAACCAGCAATGTGAGAAGAATATTTTAAGAGGTTAATTCAACCACTGTAAATGTCTACATCATCCAACAATGTGTGTATGAATCTTTAACTCTCCTGATATATCCTGTGATTTTTGCTGATGCTGCAGCATTTTATTTTTCTTCAATTGTATTATATTTTATATGAACATAACAACCACCTGTTTCCTCTAGGTACAAGAAAACCTCAGTGGAGCTGTATGAGGTGTGTACAAGAGGCCAAATGAAGAGCCTTCGGTCATCTCAGATCAGCACACATCTGGGTCTGGATGGCTGGCAACGCAGCCCAGTTTTTTCCTCTGGAGAACAGGTGAGCCAAGACAGCATCACCCCACTCGCCCCGTCCAGCCAGAGACCATTTATTAACTCTGGCCAGGAGCAGGAACGCTACTCCTTCCTGGACCACCAGACTACAGAAGACCTTAATTTGTAGAACGGGGAAAGGAAAGGAGGACTGAAGTTTTGTGCATAATATTTCTATGTATTTGTGTAAATAGACCAAATTAAATGTGCTTGGAAACGTCACTATTAAATGATCACTTTCTTTCAGAAAATGTCTGAAAATTAAGCCGCTAACACAAAGTGAAGTTTGACTGTACTTCTGAAGCATTTTGTTTTTCCTTCTTCATGCCAGATGCCACATGATGATACCACATGAATTAAACGTGAAACATAAAATAGGTTTTCTTATATGACATTCATATACATTCTGCAGCCTGCAAATGCACTTTTACAGTATACTTAACTCAAAGTAAAGTTACACATTGTTTGTTTGGATAACCTCCAGTTATTAATGATGCATCAGTTGATAGAGAAAAATCAACATTTTCTAGAACGTATCTTTGTGCTTTGATTATTCATCCAACTGCTCTGATTTTGTGCTTTGATTGGACATTTGACCTGTTGAGATGTAGAACTTTATATTGCTGTGTGATTTCTGTTTTTAAACAAAGCTTCACAGGTGTAAACTTCTCATGCTAAATATAGAAGTGAAGAAGTGGAGCACAGGTCTTCTAGACTTTTCTTTTACATGTATTTTGAGTGGTGCCAGGGGTAATCAATGGAGTGGATTAGTCAAATAACCTGATTCATGAGGCTAACCAGGAATAATCAGTTTCACATTTTTTGAGCTTAATCACATGTGAATAGATATTATAATAATAATAAACTTTATTTATAAAGCACTCTTCAACTCCGAAGAGCACAAAGTGCTGCAACGTGGGGCATACAGTGAGGAACAGAAGTATTTGAACACCCTGTGATTTTTGCAAGTTCTCCCACTTAGAAATCGTGGAGGGGTCTGAAATTCACATTGTAGGTGCATTCCCACTCTGAGAGACAGAATTAAAAAAAAAAAAGCGATAGCTCCTGAATTGAAAGCTTAGATCACTGTGCAGAGCCATTTTTCAGTCTGTTGCTCTAGTAGACTGGACCTCTAGGTCCACTCCAAGTTAGCTGCAGTCAGTAAGGTTATCCATTCTGAATTACCACAGTCAGTACAGTGAGAGCTCAACGATTTAAGCAACTTTTTAGTGAAACAAAACAAGAATGTATACAGATAAATATAGTGTGTACTTCTGAAAATGGTGCCCCCATACCAACATTTGATTTGATTTATTCTTTCAAGCATGTAAAGACAGTTGATATGTCAACACACATAATTTTACACATATCCAACAAATGCTAATCCAATATCAATTTGCTTATACCTAGTACATGCTTGAATGGAGTAGGAAGAAGTCAGACTTATCCAGTCCTACCCCCTGACATCATCTTACCATCATTGGTTTGCAAGCAGTGTCTCTACATAGATAATTTTGTTCTACACCACACAAGTAATATATTAAAGAATTATTACAGAGTATTAACATTCATACACCACACCCACAATGTTCCATCTAATTAATCATTAAGCCTGTTCTTGCTTATATCTTGATTGACACATACCTTTATATTTATGTTTAAACTTGTCAATTCTATTACTATTTTTTATGTCCGCGCTTAAATTATTCCATAGTTTTACCCCACTTATGGAAATACACAATCTTTAGCTCCCCCAATTTTCAATTGAAGTTCATTATCTAGTCTACGATTCCCAAATACCATAAATTTAGTTTTATCCAAATTCAGAGATAGTATATTACTATCACACCATTTCTTTATCTTCTCAAGTTCCTGTGAAACCCGTCCAGAGAGTTGCTGTAGGTTTTCACCCGATGCCCATATGGTAGTGTCATCAGCAAACAAAACCACTTTCACTAAATCAGAAACCTTGCATATATCATTAATGTATAATATAAATAATTTAGGTCCCAAAACAGAACCCTGAGGCACTCCACATACAATATCCAGCTCACTCGATTGGTATTCACCCAACTTCACAAATTGACGCCTCTGTGTCAAATAACTTCTAATCCAATTCAAAACCATTCCTCTGATCCCATATTTTTCTAACTTGTCCATTAATAATTCATGATTGATTGTGTCAAATGCTTTTTTAGGTCAATAAATATTCCTATCGTGTATTTCTTCTCATCCATAGCACTTGTTATGTCCTCCATCAGGTCAGTAATGGCCAAAGATGTCGATTGGTTCGTCCTAAAACCATATTGGCAATCAAAGAGGATTTTATGTCTAATCTAATCTGTTATGAAAGAGTTTTTCCAAGATTTTTGAAAATTGTGACAACAGAGAAATACACTGAATAACAGCATTTATATTTGTTTATTGGTGAACTTTAGAGGTTTTGGTGGATATAGTTTTAGACTTTGGGAGAGTCTTTAGGGTTGTTGCCTGATATGACTCACAAAATGTATAGACAATGGGAAAATATTTATCTCTATAATGAATAAGGGTTCAATATCAGTATAATGTGATTTTTTTTTCCTCAAGCTTTTTGAATGTTGCATCAAACATTAAAAGTCTTCAATTATGGACATATGTGAACTTGGACAAGAACCAGGACTGTCATGTTTCCATGGATTCAGTGCTTTACACTAAACTATTAGTAACATTTTTGGGAAATTAAGTACCATAAATGTTCCATTATGTTAATCATGTACCATTATATTGTTATGATGTGTGTGTGATTTGGACCCAAAATGCAGACGCAAGACTGGGACGAGGAGTGACTACAAAAAGGAGTTTAATAAATACTTCAAATCAAATCAAATCAAATTTCATTTGTATAGCGCCAAATCACAACTAAAGCCATCTCAGGACACTTTACATAGTAAGGTCTAGACCTTACTATTATCACTATTATTATAGAGGAAAACCCAACCAATCCCCCTTGAGCACCACTTGGTGACAGTGGGGAGGAAAAGCTCCCTTTAACAGAAGAACCCTCCGACAGACCCCGGCTCTTGGTGAGCGGCCTTCTGCCTCGACTGGTTGGGGTGAGTGGAAAGAGGAGAGAGAAAAGAAAAGAAAAGCAACAAGACACAACAAACAATCAAACACTGATCAGGTTGATATGCTGTTGACTGCTCATGCAACTGAGACACATTCACTGCACTCTGGTGATCCCCATTTCACTAATTGTGAGACTACTAGCACCAGTTTGCTGGATCACTGTTGAATTAGGTCAGTCATTTTTAAAGGGGTGAATATTTATACAATCATTTATTTCCCATTATATATTTTTATTTAATTGACATTACTTTGTAGAGACCTGTTTTCACTTTGACATTAAAGAGTTTTTTTTTTTCATCAAAAAAGCCTAATTATATTGACCATGAGTGATTTATAAAATCAATAAAAGAGTAAAACATCCGAGGGGTGAGTCCTTTTTATAGGCACTGTATAAAGAAAATATAATAGAGATTAATATAGAGCCTTGTGGTACTCCACAGGAGATGGGTGTAGAGGAAGAGCAGACTTAATCAATTTTAACTAAGGTTGATCTGTCTTGGTGGTAGGAGGTAAACCACTGAAGCCCAGTTCCTGAATGCCCACAACATGCTTAAGGCATGTTGGAAAAGGATGATGTGACTGATTGCGTTGAAAGCAGCAGAGCTGACTATGGTGTACCACTATGGTGCATCCTAAAACCTAATTGATACTGTACGTATTTGTCCTGGATGCTACATTTGTCCAAGTAGGAGCTTAGTTAAGAGAAAACAGCTTCTTAAAGAAGTGCATCCGCCTTTTGTTAGTACAACAGGGAGAGGGGTATCTGTGGAACATGAGCGACATGTTTTTATGTGGTACACAGTAGTGGCATATGCCAGTATGCCAACAATGAGTAACATCTGCCAAAAGAAAAAGAGTAGCATGTGTCAGTAAAGCAGCATACCAATAGTTTTTAGCTTTTCAATCTCAATGCTGTTATATTGCTATGAGCATCTGGAATCACCTTCAAGAAAAACCTTAAAGCGCACAGAACATCATGAAGAACAAGGAACACACCAGGCATCACTACTGTGTCTGTCCAACACTAGGGGGCACTAGTAGGGCTTTACTGTAGCTATTCTTGACCATACTGAAGTGAAAGTGATTTATGCTTTAATTAATCACCTCCAATGTGCACTTTACTCTCACACCTGTGTACCTGATGTTATGGTCATACAGCATAACACTGATACAGCATATCAGCTTATAAAGTGTTTAAATAAATATCAGAAATACTACTAATGGAAAATACATTATTTGCAAACATTCTGGTATCCTGTAAATGTAGACAGGGGTATCACTCCTGCTTTGCATCATACTGACAGAGGTGACCAAACCATAAAGCAAAGACAATAATGATCCCAACCCAGATCATCTGATAGCTAAATACAGAATAAGACAGCAGATTGTCAGACATTCATACTACTGGGTGACAATTGAATATCAGAGACTGTATGTATCATTTTCAACTACAGTAAATGATTCCATTATATTTAAATCCAAAAAAAACATAGTTTTTGAATGAATTAAGCATGTAGAGGTTATCAGTTTGTGTATTAAGAGCAGACATTTAATTGATTTTCAATGAAAATATTTCATTGCATCATTGTATATGATAGTACAGTATAGATATTAATAAATTATAGATGTGGAAAGTATTACTGCCTTCATTATTTGCATTTCATCTCTGTCTGTTTCAGCTTCTGTGGAGTTAAATTCATTACCATAAAATATATGTAGTCATCAACTCTGCTGCTGCATTAGTTCAGCCTGGGGATTTACAAACAAAAAGACACATTTTTGCCTCAAGTTTAAATGGACAGTGTGACGTTGAGAAATCTGCTGGACCCCCTGCAGTTTGCCTACCGGGCAAACAGGTCAGTGGACGATGCAAATAACATGGCGCTGCATTACATCCTGCAACACCTCAACTCCCCAGGGACCTACGCACGGGCCCTCTTTGTGGACTTCAGCTCGGC